CTCGAGCTGCGTCCGCTGTCACTGCTCGGAACCAGCGCTGTCTCTGAGTTACTCTCCGCTGCACTAGTGCCGGTGCTCAGCGAGCCGCAGTTCCAGGGCGTGACGGTGTGTGGTTTCCCGTGGAAGTTTGGCGGAGGCTTCTGGTTCCCATTTCCCGCAAGATTCGGTGCTCCCTCCCCTGCCCTGCGCCTGGCTGAGCTGGAGCCCTTCACTGCACCTGGCAGCCTGACACCGTGGCGGGAGCAGAAGCTGCTGGTGGCTTGAGGTGACACATGGCTGAGGACCAGACATCCCCTCGTCCTGCTGCAGCTGCAGCCACCCTTGGCCGGTTTTGTGTCTGGGGTTTGTCGTCTCTCCACAAATAATCAGATTTTCCTGTGTTGGAGCCTAAACTGAGGTCTTCCAGGGCTTTAGCGTTAAAGGACTAGAACGGTTTGTCGTGAGTCCCAACTGTAGTCTGGATGCTTTGTCAGGGAAGAGTTCACTTGGGAAAACGTGTGTGTGACTGTAATGATTCGTGTTCGGCTTGTGCTTTCCAACAGTTGCCATACTTGTGAAACGTATAACACAATGAAATCCAAGCTTTTCTTTTAAAGGAATATGTAATTATCTTACATTGTGCCTGTTTTGCAGATCTTTGTGGGCGTTAAAAGACTTAAACTACAGCTGAATAAATCAAGGGCTGAAAATCGAAGGATGGCAGCAAATCCTTCAGGACAAGGTCGGTTTTAATTTAAGTATTCAAGGGAAAAGACTATGTACAAAATGTCGCTGAAGTCACCATAACTGTGAGTTTATTTTATGGAAAGATCCAGAAGGGGAGGAGAGGTGGGGCTGAAAGCTGCAGACTGGCAATAAGTCTTCTGGGGGGAGACACACATTATATGGTTGAAGAAGACCACTGATGGCTGGGGAGCTCTGAATTACTGAGCATTCTTTCATCCTTGGATCAGAAAGTATCTACCATGCCTGTGATGCTGTGATCAATGCCTGACACTTACTTCGGACTCTTATAGCACTCAGCACTGAATGTGACTTGCAGCTCTCGTGCTCAACATCAGTTGTTAACTTCCAGAAGTCAGATACCTTCCATTTCATGATGGGAGCAGCAAGACTCAGGCAGTAATATCTGTCAAAGGTAGACAGCAAGCACCAGGCATAGGTGGAGAAAGTCAGGTAAAATTACAATGCTAACAGCTATGAAATATTTCTTTGTACGAAGATGCATCTGAATTGCATCCTTAAAAGGGTTAAAGGTGTGGAAATAGTCCATCTATCCAGCCGAGGCACGTGGGTTAGAAGGAGCTGAGGGTCCGGAGGGGTCACATGGTATGTTGAAGGAGGGTCTTAAATCGTCTTCTGGAGGTGCTTTCTGGAAACCTTAATGGAACTCTGACGCTTGTCTTCTGCAGAAAACTGAGCTTCTCAGACATAGCTCTTCACTTACTTGGTTACGACAAATGAGTTCTGGGTTCAGTTTCCTGGCACCCAGTGACATCTGTGTGAGTCCTGATCCACACAGGCAGTGCTGCAGAGCTGCACGTTGCTGGATGATGCTGGTAACTTTGCGGGGTACCAGATGACTTGTGGGGGCCCAAAAGACAGATTTGATTAGCTGCTTGACAAAAAGAAGGTAGTTTCTGGAATGCTCATTGAGCTTTTGCCAGTTGTTTGGGGAGGGGTACTGCAGATTTCAGGTAGTTGTGTGCAAATTCTGAGAAAGTTTTGGTAAGTAATGGTAAATTATGCTTTATTTTCTGAATACCAAGTCAGCATCATTGCAAGGAATAGAATGTTGTAATAAACAAGTTAAAAGCTGCATTTTTTCTTAAATATGTCAGTTTACCATGAAGTTTAGAATGGGATTTTAGTGTCAGAATACTTCAGCTTCCCTCCAGATTTCAGTGTCTTTTAATTTAATAGAGCCTTGGCATCTGCTTTTCTACTTTGAGATATCCTTTGGAGACTCACTAAAGGAACTGTGTAATGATCATAGGAAAATTATTTGCACTAAGCAGGCAAGAAACGCTATCAAGTTTAATTACCAAATAAGCCTAAAGTAGTATACCTAGAAAAATTAGAAAGGAACAAATGTCTTGCCCAGAGGCAGTCTAGTAGTGAAAATGACTGAGACAAATACTGCATTTTTAGCTGGCTTCCTGGCATATGTATTGGTAATGTGCAGGCAGTTGACTGCTGTTTCTCTCTTGGACAAAAGGAATAGAGGCTTACTGACACACTCACTGAAGGGTTATGACTGGCAGCACTTACTCAGGCAGAACTGCAAGGATGAAATAGACATTAGGATGAAATGCCCTCTGGACAAATGATAAATAATGCATCTTAGAAAAAAATAACACATTCTGTGAATTCGAAGCAACTAACAGATCACGGCAAAGATAAGCAATGAACGGCAAAAACTTTGGAAAATATAAAGGTGATACTGTTCTTGCCATACAGAGTTAGTTAGTAGAACTAACTGACATAGATACCAGTGAGGTAGAGGGGTAGGATTAGGTGCTGGGATTAGGTTTTAAGAGTGGAGCTTGCTGTGAGCTCTTAAAGCTGCCAGTATCACTCAGCAAGGCTTCAGCTTTCTCTGATTTTCTGCCTTTCAAGTGCAGAACTTAGGTGCAAGTAATCTTCTAACTCCTGCACAGCTACAGTGCTTGATGTCAGAAATAGAGGTGTCATAAAAGTTTAAATTTTAAATGTCCTGAATCTGCTACTGTAGAGGGGAGCTAGGTGCTCAGTTTGACATCTGACACTGCCATTAATCTGTTTTGCTGCCTCGAACAGGTCATTTTGTGTCAGGACTCTTGTGTCTTCTAAGATGAGAAGAATATTGATGAACTGCAATACTCATGAACTGTTCAAACTCAAAATAGTAGTGCAACTCAGCCCAGTCAAGGGAAGTCTTAACTTAAAGGTTTATTAAGAAGTTCCTGTGTTTGAAAATCTGCACTTCCTCTCACAGATGAGAATCGTGTCTGTACTAAGGATAGCTTTTGTTTTTTGCATGCCTGCACTTTTAATACTAGAAAGCAGAACATATGCATCAAATCTACAGATAAAAAAAACTTTATATTATTTATAATTGAAGTAGGAAGCTTGTGTAGGTGTTTCAAGTTGGTCTTTATGGAAGCACTTTGGGTTCCTGGGCCAGAGAGAATCTAAATGAAAGTCTTGCTCATGTATTGCCAGATATGATTACTTACTTTGTAAAGGTGCCAGATTTTCTCTGGAAAATGGATTTCTAATGTTCCACCCCCTCCATTGTTAACTCTTAAATGAACAGGTTTTGCTTTACATTTTGAAAAAAAGTTTAAAATACCTATAGGACCTTCATGTTGCTTAGCTGAGGAGCACTAACGTGTACATGTTGGATGTGCTCATCCACTTTCTCAAGTAGGCTTTTTCCTCCTTACCATTAAGAAATTGTCTTAAAATAAGTGACTTTTTCAGCACAGCAGGTTGCAGATGGGCACTGTCTGAATTCTAGAGCAAAATACTTCCTTAAAAAAGCAGCAAACAAAGAAATCCATCACAAAACTCTTAGTAGAGATAAGAAAAGGAAGAAAAAATGTCGGGGTAATCTGCACAGGGAAGCAAGCAGCCGCCTCAGTGTGAGGGATAAAGCAAGCTCCAACTTTATTGTTAGCTCAGTTCTTCTTTTATATGGTACATGATAAATGCGCCTATTCATCCTTTTAGCATTACCTAAGAGCATTACCTAAGCTCTAAAAGTTACATTTATATACTTTTTCTGCTTGCAGTTGCAGCTGCGAAGAAGTCTTCTTTATTCTCTGGAGAATCCTTCTTTGTTCTCCCGGATAGCCTGTCCTTGGGCTTCCAACATTATGCTGAGGAGCTAAATTCTAATGTTGAGAAGCTAAATTCTTGAGGCCTACTTCTGCTCAAAGTTCCCATAGTCCTTTGCTCGACTGTTGCTCGCACAATGCTCTCTTGGGGCTATGCTTGGGTTTCTTCTGAATGCCTCTAGAATTCTGTGATAAGATGCTGTAACAAGACTCATATAAAACAGATGACTGAGCGTCTTCTGCAGTTTTTAATCACAGTTTAAAAACAGCATTTAAAATGTCTCAAGTCTTTCTGAATCACACCATCTGTTTCATGATAAAATTTAGCATATTTAGTCGGGTTTTTTTAGCTCACAGCAACTCATATTAAAAATCTCCTTTTTCTTTCCTTGATCACCATGTTGTCTGAGTTCCAAGTATGCATTTAGATTTTTGCAGTTCAGGATAAGCAAGCAATAGCAAAAGGCTGCTGAGTAATATGTCAAGTCAAGTATTAAGCCCTTTTGGCTGAAAACTGCGTAGAATGAGCACACAGACCTCATTGCTTTAGCTCAGACCCTTTTAGGGGTGCTTTAGTCATCCTGTCAAAGCATTGTCTCCAGAATTTATGAGAAAGTAAAGTCTGGGCTAGCTGCAGCTCAGAAATGTTAGATCCGAGTTTGTTAGCAAGATTTCTCAGCCTTTATATGTCTTGGAGGACACATTCAGCTGTATTTTAATGTTTCAGATTCATTGCAAGTGCAGGGTCTTCAAAAAAGAGAGATAGTGTACAGTACCTAAAGAGCAGAGAAACGTCAAAGACCTGAATCAATACACTTACAAAAAAGTGTTTAAGTGGATGGAACTAATGCCAGGTGGGAAGCAGAGATTAGTGTATGGAAAAGTAGGAGTTAATTAAATGTAATTAAAAAATCTGTTATTAAATGTAAAGATGGTTATGGGTGATCTTGCATAAAACCACAGTGAAATGTAATCAAAAGACTCTGCTCCTTTCAAGTACTTTTGAGACACTGAGGCTCACGGGTGCATATGGTAGGCATAGTACAAGAAAATGGTGGGGCTTTAACAACAAGGCAGTACAGATGCAAATTATTATCTACAGTTGAAGTTTCTGACAGTTGTCTCCTTCATTGACCCATGCAGATCAAAGGAATGCTGGATTATGTAATTGAGCTGGAACAGGTCTCTCAAAGGGAATAAACTTTGAGTGCAGCTACTGAAAATAAGTCACATTACCTTGACATGCTAATACTCTCCTTAAGAGTTACAATGTCTGCTCTTCCTAACAGCTTGTGAGCTACCATGTTTTAGTGGTGTCACTAAAAAACGCTCAGGGCAGGGGCATGACCAGCAGCAATTTCCAGTGGGCATGACTTTGATTTTCTGTGTGGAGGAAATAAAGGATATATCTTGACTGGTTTTTAATGATGGTGTTGTAGCTTCTTATTTTTTTAACAGCAGCAAATCAGAGATCAATTGAGTGCATATTCCTGAAATGAGGAGTGTTCTTGGTGGCACAGAGGCTTGTAAACTCTGTACCTGTTGCCCTCAGATATGCTGCATGGGCATACTGGGCAACAGGAAGGACTAGTGCTTCTGGTTTCTTTTGTGGTTGCAGTGAAATCTTTTATTATATAAGAATCCAGTGTAAGTACAGTAGTTTTGCCACATTTTCATTTAGAAAGCAACTTTGAAAAATTCATAGACGGTAACTATTTTGGGCATTTTTGAAATTCCCTCTGTCACTCTAATTTCTACCCCCTTCTCTAATATGCAGTATACATCTTTGGGAGAATGATGTACAAAGCAAATGAAGGCCGTGTTCTTGTATTGTGTACAGCCAGTTTAATTTTGCTTCTCTATTCCAGCATTGCAATAATAGCTGGACTAAGGGTAGTGGGTATATGTAAGGACATTGGTGTATTTAAACTGAAACCTTTCTGTATAGATTGATTGAAAGGTGGTAACTTTTTCTGTAAGCACATGCCAGCTTAGCCATTGGCTCATTCTTACCTGTTAAATATTTAATACTTATATTGTAGTTTGAGTTCACTGACAGGAGGAGTTAGGCCCTGTGAGGACATTACTCCATTGTTGTAATTGAGTTGAACATTCAGTGACTGCATTTTAAATCTAGAACCTGGTAAGTTTGCTTTTTTTTTTTTCATTTTTTTGGAAGGCGAGTATGTGATTGTGTACCTTGATTGTAGCTCCACAGCTGGCTTGAGAAGGGGTAGGATCTAACTTGGGTTAGAAGCCTCTGTTTTAAAATGTATTGATATGTATGGTAGCTTATGGAAGCTATTGCATGATGTAGAGTGAGAAAAGGAAAAATTAAGCCTTTTCAAATGGGTACAAAGCTTTGAAGATTAGTGTACTCATTCATCACAGTGCCATATTGTACAGGGACTTTTAATTCCACAAGGTTAGAGTTGGGCCACAGACGTGAAATAAATATCTCTAATATTTTTCTGTCATTCCCACCAGGTTTCCAGAATAAAAATAGGGTTGCAATCCTGGCAGAACTAGACAAGGAGAAGAGAAAGTTACTTATGCAGAACCAGTCTTCCACAAATCACCCTGGAGCCAGGTATTTTATGTTCTTAGACCTGTTTGGACATTGCTGATTTCATGAAAGTTAAAAAAACAAAGAGCAAGTGAGCTGTAAATGTACATAAGCACTCACAAGAAGTGTTTTCTTACCATCTTCAATAACCAGATGGGGGCAGATAGCTCTTTAGGAACATATTACTATTTAAAATTGTTTACAAAACCTGAATTCTGGCAAATTTCTATTTCAGAATGGGAGAAGCAGATACACTTACTCACGTGTATTGAAGTCTTCCATAAAGAAACACCAGGAAGCAGGCACTGAGAAAGCATTTAATTATTAAGCTAAAATGCTCTAGTGAATGAAAGCAGCAGACCATTAGGTTTAGGATACTCTGTGTTTAGAGAAGAACAATTACAGCAGGGAGCGAGTTACTCTTGCAGCTCCCTATGTACAAGACAAAGCCAGTTTGTTCCTGCAGATAATCTTGTAAAAGATGATTCTAACCAGAACGTGTAATAATCTAATCTGAATTTAAGGCTTGTTACTAGGATTTCTCCCATATAACACAAAAAGGTTGGATTTTTGTCAAAAATCAGTAATTATAAAATCAACATAGTCATTTATATGGAGAAATTGAGATACTTCTGGGTTAGCATGAAGTGAGTGCAGTGCCATATTTTAGACGCAGTGTAACATGCAATGCCTGAATGAGTCAGATACTCTGAATACAGTCTTCAGTGCTGCCTGTGTCTGTTTTTCATTTTTAATTCATTCATAATGTCAAAAAGCGTGCAGGGTATTTGAAATTAGTTGAGTTAAATCTCTGAGTGACTCTGTATGCAGTTATTATTCAAGCAAAATTGTTGATAAGGAAATCAGAGTGTCATACTGTTACGTACAACCCCTGACTCCCGGCCGCAGTGTTTCTGCACTTCATTGCAAGTCTGGCATTTTCAGAGACTGCTTGTTTATTTGCTTTCTAATTTAAGGAAAAATAACACTATGATCTAATGAACATAATTAAAATTTACTGATTTTGAAGGTGGGGATGGGAGGAACCTACAATGCAGCAGTCAAACTCTCTGCTCTGGCATGATGAGCTGCTGTGTGATTTTTGAGAAGGTGACAGTTCCATGACAGGGACGTTGTGCCAATGGTCTTGGGCCACAGAGTTGTCAGAAAGTGTTTACAAACTCTGCAAACTTGACCAAAAGAGCTTGATACACCTAAAGCACTATAGTGACATAGACAGCCAAAGGATGAATGTCTTAATTAATTGCTGGCCTTGACATATGAGACTCCTCTATCCAAGAACAGACAACCTCTCGTGAAAAGTGTTTATGATGAAGCCTTAAGATTATCTACAGAAATGATACTGAAAAGTTAGAGGGTACAGATTAAGTGCAAAATAAATACCTTCAGAATAACTGAAAATACTATGTTTAAAATAAACCGAGTAATGCTTTTTTCCAGTAATGAAGCTTATCTTAATATTTGTCATCAGCTGCAATCCTCTGAATAGTTTAGTTTTCATTATGCATTTAGGCGTTGATGTGGATGAAGATATTTTCATGAGCATGGCCACTTTTCAAAAACTGATTTGCAAAATGAGCTGTTGGTGTTGAAGCTGCTGGGAAAGTTCAGTTGATGAGCTTGCTTGGATCCCTTGTCCTTCATACTTTTGTCTCTATAACTGAGGAGATATGGGCTTTCAGCACCAGTTTCCAGTGACAATTTCAGAGGTAGCTGTGCATTGTCTTGCAATACAGTTCTAATGGCAGTCCTTACTGATTTCTGTCTATTACCTACATAGTTGGGAAAAAACACACTGCTTTTATTGTTTTCTTCTTTGGTTAAGAAGATGGACAAGTCAATATCTGAAAGGCAAGAAAAAATATTCAAAAATTTTAATTTGAAATCTTATGTATGCTGCACTGAGATAGATAAGCTATATCAGTTTGAGGTACTTCCAAACTGTCATCAGAGGATCATTGTTTCAGGTACATCAATAGGAAGCTCCTTTACCATAAGCAGTAATCTACCACCCACTTGCCCAAGTCTTACACTGAAGTCTGCAGAGATCTTGTTAGTGCTTGTGTTTATCGCAGTTTAGAACAGTCACTCAGTGACTAACTAGTGGTAGAACACTAAGCTACTGTTTTAAAAATTGCTGACATTGTCTAACACTGCATCCCAGTGGTTTCACTGACTTCAGTGGGACTCAACCCATGAGCGAAATCCACAACAGGCTTCAAGACTCTCAGTCCTCTTGGTTCAATTTGGCATGAGTTGTTTGTGGTGGCTCAAATGATACAGCTATGGTCACTCCATTTGCCTTTTTTTCTCTTACATTAACAAACAGGAATTCCAAACAGTAATTAACAATTGTCAGGGAAGTAGTCAAATAAATCATGAGCTGAAGAAGTAATGGAATTTATGGCTAGAACAGCAAGGACACATGTTTTCTCTGCAGTATGTATCATACTGTCTTGTTCTTTTTTGCAGCATTGCACTTGCAAGATCACCTCTGAACAAGGATTTCCGTGATCATGCTGAGCAACAGCACATCGCGGCACAGCAGAAGGCTGCACTGCAGGTAAGCTGATACAGTCAGAGTTTAGCTTGGCACTGTTTTAGATGTGTATCCCTTTAGAGACAGCCGTGCACCTAGAGATATTGAAAAGCCCCTTTTGGTGATTAGGTTTCATCCATTCCTGTATTTGTCATAAGTGAAGTCTCTTCTTTTGCTGTGATGAAACATCTTCTTGGATGTTGAGAGCTTCATCCAGCCCCACAGCCATCTCTTTGAGTCTCTGTTGAACTTCCCCCAGCTGATATCTCAAGCTGAACTCTTGTGTTGCAAATGCAGCCTCATGGGGCAGCTCCCCTTGGCCTGCTGGCTCTGCTGCTGCTTATGCAGCCCACTGTGCTGGTAGCCTTGGTCACTGAAGAGGCACGCTGTTGGCTCAAGCTAAATTTGATACCCAGTAGGACTTTGCCCTAGTGGTGGAAAGAAGGAATATGCATGCCTTGTAGTTTGCTGGAGTCCATTCTCTGAACCTAGAGGGGCTATGTAGGATTTCACAGAGGTGGTCCAGAGCCATTCACAGCAGCTACTCTCAGGTGAACAAGCATATACACATCACATGAGCAGAATGCTCGTGTCCCATGTTGTACAAGGGTGTGTCTGGTCACATGTCATTTGTATATGCAGCCTCAAGTTGTGACACTGATCACACTTGTGGCAGCTGTCACTAAGCAAGACCTGTAAGTTGGTTATAGGTGGGAGTGGAAACATGGGGTCTAGGCAAAGGAGAGCAATCAGGAGTTGATTTGCCACTCACCCCACCTCCATGGGATTTGCTGAAAAGAGCATCAAGGAATGTCCAAGTTTATTCCCTTGATGGACCCTGTTCTGATGTAAAATGGTGATCTAAAATGCTGGTTTTGAATTTGATGATCAGAATTGAGGAACAGACTGGGAGAAATAAATAATTAATGTGGCAGAAGCCATAAAGTCGTAAATTATGTCAGTGCTGCAGGGAGTTATGCTTTAACAAATGCATTTCTCTTTCCAGCACGCACACGCACATTCCTCAGGATACTTCATAACTCAAGACTCTGCATTTGGAAATCTTATTCTTCCTGTCTTACCTCGACTTGAGGCAGAATGAGGAATGTTGTTTCTCAGAACTTCGAGGTCTGATATTTGTCCATAACAGGACCTGCCTGACCTTTCAATTGCTTATCTGAAAACCTGCTTTATTCTGGATTTTTAATGTTGTGTTTTAGAAGTATGAATTCTTAATGATGGAAAAATAGTGTTGTTGAGCAATTTTTATCCTGTATTTCTGTTCCTCTATCAGGTCAAAGGCAATTGTAAGACTTCTGTGGTGTTTGAAGTGAACAGGGCTTGATCTTCACTGTTTCAGTGCTTCCTTTAAGTAAATGTCCAAGGAGTCATCAAGAGATGCACACTCTGTCAGCATTTGTGTTTCTTTTTATTGTGTACAGGTACAATATTTGATTTTAATGAAAGACAGAAGTTACTTTTGTCCATCAAAAGAGACCTGATTTTATCAAATGCATCAGTCAGTCTTCCTCCCTGCCCCTCACCCCCATGCAGGATAATTTCTGGTGTACTGTTTGCTATTGTAGTATCATCTGGTCGCTAGTCCTTAGTTATAGTGTGCTTCCCTATTACTTAGTTTTGTGAAGAAAGAACATGAATTAAAGTGGGGAAAAAAGCAGTTATCTCAGTCTTTTTGCTGACAAAATAAAAAGTAGTAAGCTTTCTGAATACTCCAGATAGAAAGTGTAGTCTGCAAGGACAATTCAATTTAAAACGTCAAAGTTTTCTAGGCATGGCTTTCTCAATACCCAACTTGTTTTGGTTTTGTTTGCCTTTTTGTTTTGGTTTTTTTCCCTGTTTTTATCTGTGGTATACAATTTCAGCTTCCAGCTGAAAGCAAATCTGTCAATTATTATTATTATTTTGGAATTGTGGCCATGCTGCCAGAGTGAAGTATCTTAGAGTGAAAAACAGCCCTGACATAGATGTTCTTATATCTCCACAGCTTTATTTACCCAATTATGATAGTACATTGACTGCTTTAGCTATGGAGGCAGGTTTTAGAAAACAAGAGAACTTAGGTGAGAACCAGTAATCAGAAAGCATCTGTTAAATTGGTGCCCATTTGCAGAACCTCTATCCTTTGCATCACCTCTATCCTTTGCAGAAGTTTCTAGGGTTGTAATCTACAGATTTCCTTAGGGACATCTCTGGTATCCTGTTTCCATTTGCAGAGGGTTGCCTGAACCCAGTAAGCACTACTGGACTGTAAGCACTGTTAGCATTTCCCTTACTCATGAGTACAGAGCAAGGACCCAGAGATAGGTGCAGGTATGAGGAAAATGGCACAGCTTTCATATTCTTCAGCTGAGTATAGACATTTGTGAAACTGGAGCATACTGAAACATTTTCAAGAAGGAGAAATCTTGTGAAGCTGGCCTGACAGAGCTTCAAGATGTGCAGTTTTAACATGGACTATTCATACTGTGTGCTTTTTTGAGGAGTCTGATGTGGTGAGTCATGGGAACGATGGTGGGGTGTGTGGGCAGTGGAGAAAGAAGTAGTTTCTGTTTTCAGTGTTTGGCTCTGTGTAGCTTTTTAGTTACCAAGAGTAACTGTAACACTGTCCTGACTAATCATTGTTCTGCAGTGTGCTGAAGCTGTTTCCCATATTTTAGGGAACATATGGTAACCAAAAAGACCTATGAATCCTAAGGGAAAGAAGGCAGCTCTCTGCTGTGTGGTCTGTGTGCACAGACACCTCTAAAGGGGGAAGTGGAGAGAGAGGGAAGTAGTGTCTGCACCCAGCTGGAAGAGACTGAGAAGAATACAAGAAACCCCAGAGGTAAAAGTTCACCACACAGGAGCAGTGTGTGCACTGCTCTGTCCAGGCCTGGAATGTGAACCTGACCTCCATGTGAGTGGAGAGTGCCTGGATTCATGCTTGCAAAGGCAGTATGCTCTCACTCTGACCAGAGCTCCTTCTCTTGGGATAAATAGTGAAATCACTGGAACAAGGTACCTGACCCAGGGTTTTCTGCAGGCAAAGTGAGAGCCTGACCTACAAGGTAACAAGGCCATTTTTTGCTCCAAAAGAGTGAATTCATTGCCTGTCCAAATGGGATAAGTTCCAAAAAGGGAAGTTGAGGAAGGTGGGCCAGGAAAATGCCTATCCCATGCTAGTGAGTATTTGTATGCATGGGGAGGACAAGCATAATGCCAGACTGCTGTGAGATGAGGAGCCTTCATCTCCTCTTAGTAGTTCACACCCAAACAGAATTAATACAGGGCTTTGCCATCACTCAGAAGATGCAAATCTCCATCAGGCAGCAATTCATTGTCTCTGCAATGTGTGCTCAGTATGCATTGTGCATTCCACATAGATATGTCATTATAGATTCATGTAGATATGTCACTGTAGATTTCTTGCTTGCTTCTGATACTTAGAGCAATAAAAGCCAATTTCTGGTCTCCTTCCCCCTCCCCGACTCTGTTTTTCTTTCCTATCAGCTATTTCCTACAATATTGTTTTCAAGTGGCAGGAGCAAATCTACCTATGGGATTTCCTAATGCATAAACTACAGTGTAAATTATAGTCTTCTATCTGACAGCTAAATTGATTTCAGAAACATCCCTGTAAATAATATTTACAGTGAGTAATAAAATAGACCTTGCAGTCCCCTATAAATATGACAGCATTTCAAAACCAAGACCATTTTCATGAGGAACAAAGCAAAGCACTGAATCATGGCTGAGGTTCTTACCAGTCTGACATATAATGCATTATTTACCAGCAAGTGTTAGCTTTCCTTCATCTCATAGTGTTGATGATTCACATAATGGGTGGGAATTGTGTCTTTAATTCTTTTGCATTTGTTGACTGGATTTGGAAGTGAAAAGAACTCAGAACTCAGATG